AAAAAAGAAATTTGCTCATAGTTTTTTTTTAAACTATAGTCCACCCCACCAACGGTCTGAGGGACAGTGAACTGGCCCCCTGTTTTAAAAGTTTGAGGACCTCTGGGCTAAAGTATGCCTTTGGAGTTTTCAGTGGGCCTACTTTCCCTTTAATGACACTACTGAGCCCCCCCCCCAGGTGCCCTCCAATTCCTCATTCACTCTTGGGTAGCTTTATAGCTCTTCCTGGTAGCAGTTAAGTTATTACCCTTTGTATTTTAAAAGAGCTTCTAACCTCAGGGGAAAGAGATGAGCTCTGGAGGGTGAGATTTCAGGTAGACTTGAAATGAAGATGAGGGTAGATTTGGTTGTAAGTCATCTACACTTACCACTTTCCACCCCCACCTCCCATCCTTGGCTAGGTGTCCTGGGACTTGGGATGGCTATAGTTCTCAAGTGGAAACCACATTTTGGATCATGTATGAGCCTGGCCAGCCACTGGCCACAGGCAGGCCACTTATCTCCCAGACTGAAATGGCCAGATGCTGGTTGAGAACCAAAAAGGAAACAACTTCCCCCACCGCAAGCAGTGAAAGTAGACAACATAAAGTTAATTTTTAGAGCATAGACATACAAGGGGGACCCCCCCAAAAAAACCCCTAGAATTATTTTTGGCATGTGGGTCCCTTGTAGTACAGGCTTCCCCTGCTAGGTAAGTGTTCTAGGAACCCGCTGGCATCAGTGTACCAGCTAGCATTGTTGTGAAAGACTGCATTCGGCTTCAGTGTACAGCAGTTTTTGACCAAAACCGGCATGACGCATGCTCCCCAGTCACCTGGTCTCACCCTGAGCGACTTTTTTTTGTTTCCCCCAGATGAAAAAAGTCCTCAAAGGGAAACATTTTGATGATGTGGAAGAGAGGAAACAAAAAACAGCAGAAGCACTAAGAGGCATCCCAAAACTGTTCTGAGCAGTGGAAAAGGCATGTCGATAGGTGTACTGCATCAAATGGAGAGACTTCAAAGGTGACTGAAGTTTAAACTAGTAAGAGTAAATACACAATTTTTTAGATACAAATTCCTTTTGGCCAGGGTTCCCTCTTATAACCTACAGAGGTGCCCTCAGTGCTTCTGCACTCTTCATTTCAAGTTCTAGACCCTTGGCTACAGTTTTTCATTTCAAATTGACCAAATGTAGTTAATGTGAAGATACCCACCACAGCAACACTAACAGCTAAGACCCAAATGAGGAAAAAGACCAATGCTGATATAAGAGCTCAAAGGGGAGCATTTAGTGAAAGGGCAAGCTGCTCACAACACTTTGCTGGCCCATGAAGACATCACTGTGCTGCGTTACAGCCCAATACGATAACTAGTACAATGCTGTGTGTAATAACTCTGGGTCATCTAGAAAAGTCCTAGTGATATCCATGTGCTCTGAATAGAAAGCTGATTCTAAAATACTGGGAAAGGATGACAGCATTGAGGAAGGTCCCCTAGAGGAGAGTAGTGGTTACTGCACCATGAAGCTACAGCATGGGATCCTGGGCTGGAAACCACCTTACCTCTGAATGTTATCTTCAAGTTGCTTGACTCTGAACTCATCCTCCTCAGATTGCCGCCTCCTGGCTTCCTCCTCTTCGGCAGTTCCAGCGGGTATACCCTGCAGCAGCCATTTCTCCCGAAGCACTTTGGACTGTGGGAATAAGGGAAGACAAGAGGCAAAATGATACACAGTCCACACCCTTCTTTCTCTTAGCAGCTCAGTTGCTCATCGATGTTGCTTAAATCACTGCCTTCACCTCCTCACTAGCTTGACTCCCTGCTTCCCTCCAGCCCAACCCCCAGAGAACCACCAGAGGGATTTATTTCTACATCATTTTCTATTATTCTTTTACATCTTAAAATAGTGAACTGTATAATGAATGTCCATATAACCTCATCTAGATTTATCAATAACAGACATTTTGTCATATGCTCCCATATATTTTTTCACCAAAGCATTTAAAATAACAAACTCCATGCATTTTACCCATCAATATTTCAGTATGAATCTCTTTTATTTTTTTTAAAGAACTTTTTTTCTATGCAACTACAGTTCCATTCCAAAATTTCCTGAGATCGCCTAATATCCAGTCCACATTAAACTGTCCTTTTAAAAAGACTAACCTATGTCATGTCTCTTCTTAAAAACCCTTTAATGACTCAACCTGTCCTCACTAGTAGTCTCCAAACATTATTAAAATAATACCCCCATCTGTGCCAATGTATTAATATATTGTAAAGTAGAATAAAAAGGTTTTGTTTCAGGTCAATGCTGGGTAAGGAGTGCTCACTGCTTTTGGAAGGGAGATAAAACAGCTCAAGAGAAAGGCATGTTGGAACTTTCTGAAAGGAAGAACAAGGAGAGATAGGTATTAGAGAAGGATTTTGATTTGGGTTTCCACTGTCATGGCCTCTAGGTGGCCATGAATATCTGCAGAGACTGGACCCTGAGTATCACAGCTGAGGACCAGTCAGAGGGCCCATGGGTTGTCAGTAGTCATGTGAGGGAACCACCATGAGGATGTAGGGCGCATGATCAATTCCTCCCAGCAACAGTGGAACAACCAAAGGAACAATGGCTATGATGCCAGCCAACACAGAGTAAGGACCCAGTTCCCTGGTTCCCTGGCATCGCCTCCATCCAGAATTTTGTTTGAGTTCATCAGGTAGGCAAATGAGGTGAAAGGAAAGAGAGCTCTCGTAACAGACTGAGGGTCAGGTCATATAGTCTTAGAGCAGACTCCCTATAGCTCTTACGAGTAAAGGATTCACATAGACTCTCATTTTCGAGTGGAATTAAGGGTATCTTATTACGAACCTTTAAAATGAGTTTTTAAAAATTATCTACCTTTAGTAATAGGAAGTTGGACTTCACTAATGGTCCTGATTCACTATTCTTCTGAGAAGCCCAGGGACCATTCAGCACCGTGGAGAAACTGCTGGATACCCAGGAGCAAGTTCCAGCAGGCTGGAATTCCTGCACTTCTGGGATTAGAGCCTTTGTTGGCAATGCATCATCAGCATGTGTCCAGGTAGCCATGGGTTTTACTGATGTTATTCTTTTTTTTTGAGTTGGAGTCTCACTCTGTCGCCCAGACTGGAGTGCAGTGGCTGCTTCCGTCCATCACAACCTCGACCTGCGGGGCTCTGGCGATCCTTCCGCCTCAGCCTTCCAAGGACCTGGAACTACAGGCGCGCGCTACCATACCTGGCTAATTTTTTTGTTTTATTGTAGAGATGAGGTCTCACCAAGTTGCCCAGGTGGATCTCGAACCCGCGGGCTCAGGCAATCCACTCACCTCAGCCTCCCAAGGCGCGGGATTACAGGCTGAGCCACCGAGCCCAGCTTACTGATGTTATTCTTGCCTTATAAATTGTTTCATGACAAATCATCGTGGAGATCTGTTTGGTTACTCTTACAGTACACAGAGAGGCACATGTTATAATAAACATCTAAGTAAAGACATGAGTTTGTTTCTATAGAAATGATCCCTAACTGAACTGCTAAAGCAACTGTAGACTGGAACCACCCCCACACCGCAATATGTTTACACAGTTACACATCATTGGTAAATGCTGCCTGTAAATGTGTTCTGTATAAACAGTTTGCATCTCCCACCAAGGTAAGTATTTAAAAAGTACTGTTTTTCCATTATAGGGCATTGTTTTATAATATAAAATCATATGTAAAAGCCCACAGTACAATTTGTTTATGTTGGTTGCTCTCCAAAGCTTTATCTGAGATTCTTTTCCATTGGAAAGTGGGAATGAGTGGGGTAAATTGGCTCTTTCTACGTGGGTGGTAGAAGAAAAAAAAAATTCAGAACCACTGGTTTCTAAGCTACTCAAAAATCCCCAGGCAGATCTTGCTTGTGCATTACGGGAGGCCATTTTTAAAATCAACGAATGTTTTCCTATTCTTATTCAGCTATTTAATCTGATGTAGATGCAAAATAAATCTCTCATTTGTAAGCAATTTTGAAGTAGAAAGATGATTACTGCTTTGCTTCTCTTAACCTAAAACTTGGCTCTGCAATTTACTCTCAGGAAGAGAGCAGAGACTGCAAGAGGCCATGTTGAACAAATGGTTAACAGTCTCAATTCTGGAGCCTGTCATTTACTAGCGGAGTGACCTTGGACAGGTTTCCTAGCCTCAGTTTTCTCATCCATAAAATGGAGATGACAACACTGCCCATCTCGGAGGGTTGTTATGAGGATTAAAGGAGTTTGTGCACTGAAGTGTTAGGCACATACTTAGTACTACAGAAATGTTTATTATTGTTGTTTGTCCTGTTCTCTTGGCCTCTCTTCCATTCACCTGAGAAAGAGCAGGCAAAATGCCATCAGAGAAGTCTTCCTCCACCTCCACTGACTCCGTCTCATATAGCAGAGACATACACCATAGCACTTTCATACTGTCTTCAAGTTATTTCTTTTTACATCTGTTCCCCCTTTAGGCAGCCAGCTCCTCAAAGGCTGGGGCTGTCCCTTTTCACCTTTGCATTCACCACAGCACTGAGTCCGATTCCAGTGAATGAGCGAATAAATGCATGAATTGGGAAATTCTAGATTTTCCTTCATTCTAATTACTTGGGGGTGGGGATCATACTTCCAGAGTGCTTCCTGTGCCAAAGATATCCAAGTCACAGATGGTAAAAACCTTAGAATTCCAGGAGACAGATATCCGGCAACCTGAGCCTTGGTGTGTGGACCTTTCTAGAAAGTCAGTCATGGACAGTCCTGGCTTTCTCTGCCCCAGCAGAGATGCTCTGCAGCCATGCCTTCTTGCCATGCAAGGAAGTGGCTGCTTTTAGGAATGTCCTCTCTGCTCTTCCTCACACAATGCCACCTGCCACTACGTGAAGGGTCTAGTCTTCACTTCTGGCTGATTTAGCCCCAGCCATCAGGTAGTACCTTTGGCCAAAGCACCCAGAGGCCCATATCCTTCTACTTCTGTCTCTTCTCTTGATGCAGCAGTGACATCATCAAAAACATATCCAACAGGAGAAGCCAGGAAGAGAGGCTCTGATAGAGAAAGGGAGTAGGCCTGGTCTCGGGGAAGTCTGTTTCACAAATGTATCTTGACATTAAAAAACAAAAACAAAAATGCATGATTTATTTTTCACTTGGCTCCAAAGTCATGCTGTCAGGGAAAACCACCAATCCAAATTGATGGTTCCTCAACCTACTCCAGACCCCTTCATGTTTTCTCTGAGGATCAACGGGATTAGTCCCTCAGAATATAATGGAATATACTGAGTGCACCCATCAAAACTGTGGGTTTTCCCTGTACTGTCCTGGCTTTTATTTGCTGTTTGACTATTTCAGAATTTAGAGATAAAAAGAGCTCAACTAAAAATAAAAAACTTTTTTTTGGCACTTATTGTTCGAATAATATGTATCAGAAAAAAACGTTATCATAGTTTACAGGTGCTAAGAACTGTCAGACTTCACAGTTGTCAAATGGATGCAACCATGAAGAGTCCAGACAAGGAAGAGACAGATGGGGAGCTGGCAACTGGACAAACAAAACCTTGAAAGGGACTTTTTGGAAAAGAGTTCAGGGAACTTCTAAAGTAAATCTGTTTCTTATGCTACTAGCTTGTCCAGCTTTGGAAAACAAAACTAGAACAGAGCTTCCTCAAACTTCTGTTTATAAATGGATCACCAGGAGAGCTTGCTAAGACACAGATTCCAGGGCCCACCCACAGAAGTGCGGATTCTCCAAGTCTGAGGTAGGGTCTGGGAATTGGAATTTTAACAAGCTTGAAGGTGATGCTGTCATTGCTAGTCTGAAGGCAACAATTTAAGCAGCACTGCACAAGAATCTGTGACTATTCAAATCCTTGAAGAATACATGAATTTTCTCACTGGCTGGCCAAACACAATGATCTAAATCAGAACTCCCCTCATCCTCTTCCTCTGCATCCTCACCTCAGGAACAGTGGCTCACTCCTATCCCTTCCCTAAGTACCAGAAACTCTGCCAGTCCCTGAAGACGCAGGTCAGGAAAGCAGACAGTCTCTACTCTCACTGAGCCTTCATCCTAATACAAAAGGATGCAAGACAATTATCAGACTATGATGCTCCCTGGGAAGCGGTAGGCAGGACAATGTGACAAAGAGGGGCTGAGGGACAAAGAGGGACACTTTAGGTGGGAAAGGTCTCTCTGAAGGCTTGAACATTTGAGCGGAGCACTGAGACATGGAGGAGCATTCCAGGTGGTGGCACTAGCAAATGTACTAGCCCAGAGGTAGGCAGTTTGGTGTGTTTGTAGACCAAAACAAAGGCCTGAGTGACTGAACCATAGTAAGTGGGGGTGGCAAGGAAGGGCAGAAAAAGTTGGAGACAGAAAGGAAGGCAGAGGCCAGATTAGGCAGGATTCTGTGGCCATATTAAAAAGTTTTCTGGGCCAGAAGCAGTGGCTCACGCCTGTAATCACAACATTTTGGGAAGCAGAGGTGAAAGAATTGCCTGAGTCCAAGGGTGTAAGACCACCTTGGGCAACTGGACGAGACCTTGTTTCTAAAATAAATTTAAAAATTAGGCAGGCATGGTAGCACATGTATATAGTTCAAGCTAGTTGGAAGGCTGAAGCAGAAAGATCACTAGAGCCCAGCAGGTCAAGGTTCTGGTGGCCGTGACTGTGCC